TAAACAATATCCCTCAAAATTGGACCAAATTGAAAGAGAGAAATTCAGGGGAAACATGCCATAAGGGTCTAACTCGAAACGTAAAAAATGACTTTGAACGTCGATGAAGCTTGGCGGAACTACCAGCGGAACCGGAACGGATGTCTATTATTCGACCACGCTCAACATGGACTATACACTGTGCAGTTTCTGGAAGAACGCAACTTTCATCTCTTCGGTAGGAAGTCCCTCCATCCTGGACTGTTTTCTTGTCGAACATCAGATTATCCAAGCCGGAGGTGCGCAACAATCTCAGTTCCGACCACCAACCGGTGGTAGCTGAAGTCGACATCAACGTGGCTCCAGCTCCAAACCAGCACAAAGACTACCACCACGTTAACTGGGCACGCTTCGGGCGTGTTGTCCAGAATCTGGACGACCGCTTCAGACCATTCTGGAAGGTAGCCAAGGTCCTGAAAACTCATCCTAAACCCGTTCCACCTATCAGAGTCGAAAATGATGACGATCGGCTTTTAATCACACCACAGGAGATAGCAAATGCGATCGGCAACCATGTCGCTACATCGCATTTGCTTGGCTCGACTATCCAAAGTCCGCTCGATTATCAGGTTGCGCTATGCGTTCAAAACCTAGATGCTTCCCCTTGTGTCGTGCTTACGGTGGCTATGATTACAGTACAACAGATTTGCTCAGCGCTGAAATGTACCAAGAACATGAAGGCTCCCGGGTTCGACGGTATATTCAACTTGATCTTGAAGAGATTCAGCATGAAAGTGCAGTCTCTTTTGGCCCCTATCTTCAACAGATGCTTAGAGCTGCACTACTTTCCAAGCATCTGGAAGGTAGTAAAAATCATACCAATCCGCAAGCCCGGTAAGCATCGAACATTGCCCTCACGCTACAGACCAATCAGCCTCCATTCAGCACTGAGTTCGAGAAACTCATTCTCAATAGTTTGCATTCTACTTCCAGAACAGTTTGGGTTCAGGAAGGGGCACTCCATCAATCCCCAGCTAGTACGGGTGATGAATAACATCCGAAGTAACAAACCTGTATCCAAGTCCTCAGCCATGGAATTGCTAGACGTTGAAAAGGTGTTTGACAATGTCTGGCATGAGATTTGGAATTAGATAGGGCTGGAATTAATAAACATGGTTCAGGAACAGATTTATAATATATAAATATTTCATAAAATAAGGAAATAGATACAAATACGATTGATATCAAATTACAACTAAATGAACTTTCAACATTTCGAAACGAGTTCCCATAATCAAGAAATGAGTTTCAGTCGAACGATACACACCAACCGCATGATGTCATACAGAAAGCATTGGTAAAGGGTGTACAAAGTTAAATTGCAGCACTTTCAAAAAGCTGTAACAATTGCCCTTTGGATTCATTTTTATGAAATTTTGGGTGAGTTGGCCTCAGCGTGTATTTTTCACACTGCGTGAGTTTCATTACGAAATTTCTTGTAGTTTTGAAAATGAAGTTGCGCGAGAAAATTATGCACACTCACCTCAACAACCCACATTTTTCGCACCGAGCCATCGGAAAGATGTTGGGAATCCAACAATCTCGAGAACAATCTACTGTTTCTCGTTTCATAACACGTTTAGCTGTTTATTGGAAGCCAGTGAGTGCAAGAAAAAGTGTTCAGTACTGCGTAAGCTGTACACACGAATTTTGACAAAATTGAGGGGTGATTCACTTGTGTATTTTCGATTCAAGCCAACGTTTTGATGAACATAAAGGCGAACACGAAATTATTGCGACACATTCAACAGGGCATAACTTTTTCACCATTGGGTAAAAATCAACCAAATTTTGCACACTTTCTCATTGATGTGTATTGTGTACATGCTGTCAAACTCGAAGTCGTGTTTTTCGATTCAACGAAAATGGAGGTGAACCAACGCGAGTTGAGAGAACAAATTCTTTCCAAACACCTGGAATTTGCTGACCTGTCGCACCGGCAGTTGGGAAAAATGTTGAACATTCACCATTCAACCGTCTCCAGAGTGTTGAAGCGGTTCCAGGAGTGGTTGACGTTCGACCACGGTAAAGGAGCTGGAAGAAAACCGGGACCGGAGAACAAAAAGACGGAGGGAAAGGTGAAGCGGATGATTAAAGCAAATCCCAACGTCTCAAGCCGTGATTTGGCTAAAAAGATCGGCATGTCGCAGAGCTACGTCCAGAATGCAAAGAAGAGAGCTGGACTACATACATACAAGGTACAGAACTTCCCAAACCGCGATGAGCGGCAACAATGGACGGCTAAAACTCGGGCACGGAAGCTCTACCAGAAGATGCTGACAAAATATGGCTGCTGTGTGATGGACGACGAAACGTATATAAAAGCCGATTTTAAGCAAATTCCGGGGTTGGAGTTTTTCACCGGCAAGAGCAAGTTCGATGTGGACAACAAATTTAAGAAGAAGAAAATGTCGAAGTTCGCCTCCAAATATCTCATTTGGCAGGCCATCTGAGGAGTGAGCCTTTCGTGACAAAGGGCACAGTAAATGGCGAGATCTACAAATCTGAGTGCCTCGAGAAGCGCCTTTTGCCGTTCTTGCAGCAGCACGACGAAGCTCCACTATTTTGGCCAGATTTGGCATCATGCCACTATTCTAAAAGTGTCCTGGAGTGGTATGAGACCAATTCTGTCCATTTTGTTCCAAAGGACATGAATCCGCCAAATTGTCCGGAGCTGCGCCCGGTGGAGCAATACTGGGCAATAATGAAGCGGGAACTTCGGAAGAGCAAGAAGACAGTCAAAGACGAGAAGGACATGTTAAGAAAATGGAAAAAAAAAAAACTTAGAAACTGGTACCGGATGACACTGTAAAGACTTTGATGGAGGGCATCAAGCGAAAATGCGTTCAATTTTACACTCAAGGCTCCATCGATTAACTTTTCTTTTGATTTTTGAAGTAAATATATGTATAAAACTACCCTAAAATTTTGATTTGATTCTAAACATTATAAGAAAATTGGCATGACATTTTCGGTGTTGCAATAATTTCGTGTTCGCCCTTTATTGAAGTATTTTTTTTTATCGAATGTTTATTTTGTGTAATAATGTATGTTTTTGAATTTTTTGAATGTACGTAATTTTCTGTGCATTATAAAAACAAAAGTGTAATTTTATGCATTAATGTATTGAAAATCAGTTATAAGTGTATTCTGTCATTTCAGTGTTTATGTTTACCACTCGAATCGAGGATCAAACGGATCAAAGTCTAAGAGAAAAGGTGACAATACGGGGGCAAAAATGAACCACTTTTCTGTCAAACGTGAACCAGCTCGTGATTGGCTGATTTGATGTGCGTAAGATAGAGATAGAGATCGATAAAGATAGAGATAGAAATAGAAATTGAAGAGTAAGAAGCCAATTAATAACTTAAAAATACCCTGTTGGGTGGTAGTTGAAAATATCCTACATTTCGTGAATATACCGTTCGGGTTATAGGTTTATTACAAAATTCCTGTGGGTGTTTGGACATATTAGTTATAAGGCTGTGTTTAGATATATTAAGAATCATTACTTTAGTGTTTACTACCACTCAACTGGTTTGTTCGACGTTTGCCAAAAAAAAAATGTGTCGTGCTATCAAAATTTATCTACAATTAATTTAGGTAAGTTAACTTAGTATTATAAATTAATTTTAATTTCTCACCTCTACTCGAGCCTCTACTGTTCCGACAAAGAACTATATCCAAACTTCTCTGTTCTTCTATGTCAGTTTGTAGGTAATTTAACTAGATTTAATTCCGTAAATTAGCTTTATGTTGCTCATACAATTAACTTTTCCTCACCTTGTTAAGATAGTTTTAATCCAACAAACAGTTTTAAGCTCAACAATAGATGTACCGTTATTTACTAAGAATTGTTTATCTATAATTGTTATTTTAGGTTAGAATTCACTGGCAAAGAATTATGTACAATTTTACTGCATTAAACAAATACCTGTTCACAATTCGCCAATATTTGTCGTTTTCAGGTACAAATGTTACTAAATTTAATATTAATATAGTTTTGAGCACTAAAGTATTGTAAATTATTTTCCTCACTGCAATTCTTCAACATCATTTCTCGCTCTGGTTGTTGTTTTTACACCGAGGTGAACAGAAAAAGCTCAGAACAATAGGTGTTGTTGTTTTCATATCCACCGTTCCGTATTCCGACAATCCTCCGTACGTACGATGGGTGTGGATGGGTTTGACCATCTAAGTCAACTTTTCTGGGCGTGTGGGGCTTGGCGGGCTCGTCGAAGTAGCGCAATCAACATACCCACTGATGAGTAGAACAGTAGAAACAGCAAATGTCGAAGTTCCCCAAGAAATTCATGATTTGTCAGGCGATTTGTTCGTACGCAAAACGGAGCAAGCCTTTCGTAGCAACTACAAGCGTAAATGGCCAAGTCTACATGAATGAGTTCCTGAAGAAACGACTGCAGAAGGATATCAATCCCCCAAACGCACCGGAATTGCGGCCAATCGAAAGATACTGGGCTATAATGAAGCACGAACTCAGTAAACATCCTAAAGCATCCATCGAATCAGGAAATGTTGAAATCATGCTTGAAAACAGAAAAATGTCGATTTAACCGTTGTATAAAACCTTATGGGTGTAAGTAAGATACTTAAACCATGTTTGTATATAGTATTACATTCCCTAAAAATGTCATGACGATCGGTCGAGAGGCATATTTTTGGCTAAATGATGCAATTTAACTGTGGACACCCTTTATTCACTTGTCATAAATTGATTTACGGCCTGATTCCCGTGTTAATCAAATTTACATCCACCGGCACCGAAGGCCTTTCGAGGTAAACTAATTACCCATTTACAACGCATCCAATCTGCATTGCACCTCTGTCTGAGCTACGCAGCAACTGCAAACACCCCATCAGCAGTCATTAAGTTAATTAACCTCTCAGTGCGACTTCTGCTGCAAATAATTCAACCCAAATACCACCCATGAGGTACTCACCAGCCCCATTATGAACACCACCGAGTGCGATGCAATCAGGATCCACTCGGCTGTCGATGGGTAGATGTAGTCCATCAGCAGTTGCTGGTACTCCTCGTTCGTTAGATTGCAGTACAACGGATCGCCCACGCAGGTCACATTATGATCGATGAAGCAGTTCTCGTTGTACTCTTCCATATAGTACTCCTCATCGCACAGGACGTCGTTATGGTTGTCCAGGTTGATGATGGTGTAGTACGGAGTAACGTAGGTCTGGTTCCCATCTGCCGATGATTTAGTGCCGTTGATGCTGTTGGTGGTGCAGCTTCCGGCCGGATCTGGCAAGTTGCTTCCGTTGCGACAAATTGCGCCATTAGAACTCTCCGATAGCGACTGGTCGATTCTCGCACTCATCGTCGAAGCTGTCAACGACAAGGATGATGAAGATGACGATGATAATAGAGATTCTTGCACTTTAATTACATCGCGCTTCACCAGATGAGTCAGCTGTCGTCTGCTGGCGACGCCGGTCGTGGTCGTCGGTGATATGCTTTTCATCACATCAACGTCGGTGATGGAGTCCTGTTCCCCGAGGGATGCTGCTGACTTTAACGAGTTTGTTGTTTTAGGATAAATCTTATTTCGATTTTCCCATCTGATGGCATCGGCGGAGGCGAATGGCAATGCTGTCCAGTGAGGAATGAGCTGGTGCCGGTCAAGGGAAGGAGTACTATTGACCTCCTGAGCGTCGCCCACGCTCAGGGCGGTAAATAGTGCAAGGAACAGTAAATGGGGGGATGACAGAGCCGGGAGCGCCATTCTTCCGGTATTGTTGGAATGCGATGCGAGCAGCGAATCTGAAAAGAGCAGAATAGATATGATGATTATTTATGTTGGAGTCAGAATAATGGCAGCATTAGGTAGGAATTCCAATATGATTGAGGTTTGTGATGAAGTTATTGCAAATGGGAAGTTTATGCTTTGGATTTTTATTATATCTGAAATGCATAACATGAATCTTAAATACATTTCACGAGTGTTGAGGTACGTGGAATCTCAAATCCCATTCATGGCCAATAAAATAATGAAAATTAAATCTCATGAAATTACTAATCGAAACGCTATGATGTTTCATTTCAGACGGTATTTGGAATCGGGCTTTCTCAAGGGACATAATGGTATCAACCGGTGGAAACTAACGATTTTGAGTTGGCTCGCTATTTGACTAGCCTATTGGTCCCAAGCAAATCGATTAACATACCCCATTCTAGTCGAAATTCTAGTACTACACTATGTTTGTTTTGATTAGCTATGAAAATTTGACCGATAAAATGAGGAGTTCGTGGATTTTCCTATGTTTCGAGGGGTGCATCGATTAGCTTGGGACCGAAGATAGTACCAGAGCTAAGCCAAAAAGTTGAGCACGTTTCATCGGGATTTTCTAGTCTTAGAGTTACCTCCATAATGGCACGCCGCCTTTCGCGCCACGCAAAAAAAAATCGGTCATTGTCTAAAACTAGCCCTGATCAAAATCGTATGCCCTGGATCGAAACGTTGGCGACAAGGTTGCAAGTACTCATTTCAGCTAAAATAATGTTTTTTGGAATAATAAAACCAAAAGATGGTATGATGACATGTTTTACTTATACCATAGAGGTAACTCTAAGACTAGAAGGTCCCGAAATAACGTGCTCAACTTTTTGGCTCAGCTCTGGTACTCTCTTCGGTCCCAAGCTAATCGATTCACCCCTCAAAACATAGGAAAAACCAATAACCCCTCATTTTATCTGTCAAACTTTCGTAGCGAATCAAAACAAACATTGCGTAGTACTAGAATTTCGACTAGAATGGGATACGTTAATCGTTTGCTTGGGACCAATAGGCTAGTCAAGTAGTGAGCCAATTTAAAATCGTTAGTTTCGTATTGATTGTTGCTTATAGTTTACAAGAAGAGGTTACAAAGTATGCGTTTGAAACATAAAACCTGTAAATTTTGCTTTCTATGAGTCAGAATCAGCGATTTGCTGATCGCTGAGTGATTGAGTGAGTGTGTGAAAAATCGCTAATTGTGACTCTCATAATGTGAAATAAACAGGTTTTATATGTCAAACACATTCTTTGCAACCTCTTCTTGAATCTTACCTATTCCAAATATTATCATAGCATCTAATTATTTCATAATAAAAAAAAACATTGTTGTAGCTGAAATGAGTATTTGCAACTTTGGTTGGCGATGATAAAACTGTAATAAACACTTTTTCTTGTAGACTGAAAACTGAAACAAAATTACGAATTCTTTTATATTTTTGAAATTTTCCGTAATTCTAAACTATTATGTACTTTTCGGTGATTCCCTGATGTTAATGAAACTTTTATAAAGGGCTCTCATCTTAAATAAAATTCAGTAGACTTCTCTGAACTTCTCAGAACTTTTTGAAAGTTCCCGCCATTTTCCTGTGGTTGATTGAGCTGCCTTGAAAGTCTACGAAATTTACCTACATTTGTTGATACATTTTGTTTTTGAAGCTCATGGAACTTAATTTAAAATCTATAGAATTCCCTGAGCTTCTCTGGAATTACCTGAAGTTTCCGTTCCTTCATGACGTTCCTTAAGTTTTCAAGTATTTTTCGGAACTTCTTTTACCCTCCAACAATTTTCCTGATGGTCATGAAGCTTCTCTGAGGAAAAGGTGATCTACTGAGGAAAAGGTGATCGATTTGAAATTGGCTCACAGCTTGACTAGCCTATTGGTCCCAAGCAAATCGATTAACGTACCCCATTCTAGTCAAAATTCTAGTACTGCACTACGTTTGTTTTGATTCGCTATGAAAGTTTGACTGATTAAATGAGGGGTTAGTGGAATTTCCTATGTTTCGAGGGGTGAATCGATTAACTTGGGACCGAAGATAGTACCAGAGCTGAGCCAAAAAGTAGAGCTCGTTTCTTCGGGACCTACTAGTCTTAGAGTTACCTCTATGGTGCTACCAAGTGGAATGCTGGCTGCTCGCGAAGAAATCGATGTTGTTACCAACAACTTGTGAACAATGGTCCGGCTCAAGGCAGGATGTTCAAGGAGGATATTTAAGGTTAGGGTTAGTTCTTTTGTTTTTGATTATTAGGTTCGATTTGTATGTAAAGTTAGTAAATAAAGTACATATTTCAAATTCATAAATCTAGTACATTGGCACTTATTATTTGTAAACCTAAACCTAACATAAATACACAACCCGTATAATTAGTTAGCCAGATCTGTAAATAAAAGTTTGTAAATTTATGCATGCAGATAAACAACTTAATAAATAAATAAATTAGGAAAAAAAAATAAAAGACGGCCAATTCCGCATTAAAATTACCAAGTTTAAAATAAACTAACCCCTCGGTAACGGCTCACATCTTGTCCGTAACGTCAGTTGCCATTTATATGTTCCATGCTAAGAGGAAGAGGTGACGATTGGCTTCTTCCTCTTTTATTTCTATCTCTATCTCTATCTTTATCTATCTCTATCTCTATCTTACGCACATGAAATCGGTTAATCAGTTCACGTTTGACAGAAAAGTGGTTCATTTTCGCACCCGTATTGTCACCTTTTCTCTTAGGTTCAATGCAACCCGGGGGTAGCTTGACAACTCCAGTATATTGCCACCCAAGTAACAATTTTGGTTTTATGAAGGTTCTGTAGACCATGATTTAGACGTGTAGAATGCTATAAAACCTCTATAAAACTGGAAATGTTACTTGGGCAGTGGACTCCGATAATTTGGTGCTGGTGGTTCTGTCAAACTCACAAGTTTCAGAAGTGTTATCTGAATAGGGCGAATGTAGAAATGATGTACAGTAAATAAAAGGTTTGAAATTTATCTTATGTTAGCGCGCCCCCAAACTGGCTCGTATGTATTTGAGCAGAACAGACCCAAATGCTTTAACTTACACTCTTATAGCATAGAGGTAACTCCATAGAGGTAACTCTAAGACTAGAAGGTCCGAAATAACGTGCTCAACTTTTTGGCTCAGCTCTGGTACTCTCTTCGGTCCCAAGCTAATCGATTCACCCCTCGAAAATCCACTAACCCTTCATTTTATCTGTCAAACTTTCATAGTGAATCAAAACAAACATTGTGTAGTAGTAGAATTTCGACTAGAATGGGGTACGTTAATCGTTTGCTTGGAACCAATAGGCTAGTCAAGTAGTGAGCCAATTTAAAATCGTTAGTTTCGTATTGATTGTTGCTTATAGTGAATTCGTTTATTATTCAGTTTCAACCTGGATCGGGTATCAAGATGGGGTCTGCTCATTTTCTGACAAACGTCAGTTTGCTCGTTTCTTTTTAAAACCTAGCTCAGGTTGAAATTCGCACTGACAAAAAATTCGGTTTCGCACGTGACGGAATCCATCTTTAACACAAAGGATGAGACGTAAACAAACATGTCATGTAAAATTAAGTGCTCCGCGACTGAAACATTCAAAAGTACGTTTGATTGAGCTGATCGCGTCTATTATGGCTTAATTTTATTAGTGAGCTTGATCTGATAATCTGACAGTCAAAACCATGTAAAACAATGGTACCAACCTAACACTGTAAAAAATGTCCATTACAGACCGTTATGACAGATTATCCAGTCGCCAGATTAACGAAAGCCGGAGTGGGGGGATACCATAGAGGTAACTCTAAGACTAGTAGGTCCCGAAGAAACGTGCTCAACTTTTTGGCTCAGCTCTGGTACTCTCTTCGGTCCCAAGCTAATCGATGCACCCCTCGAAACTGTAAGTTGCGGCTTACCTGCCAGCCTATAGCTGGCCTGATTTACCCCGGCGGGGCGGCTACGAGCATAGTACTTCCCCCAAAGACGTTCGGATTTGGCTGGATTGATGAACAAAAAGAGAAAGAAATTTGAAATTTAAGACGTCTATTGATAATCTAACCTTCCCTTTCTCCTCGCTGATTCTCGGTGACACACGGTGGGGCCCTTCGACGATAGCGGCGGCGGTTGCGGCTTGTTCACGTCGGCTCCAGACACGGTCTGTGCCAAGCGTCTCCTACTTCACTTTAGCTGCGTAGCAGCGGTCCTTGGCGTTTAGTGGGGGGATGAGCAAGGCTCTTTTATCGGAACCCCCCGGCGACGATGGTGACGAATCACCGGACCAACTACTCGCCGTAGATGGTTCCGGTAGTCACCGCAGTGCACTACCCAGGCGAACGCTCCTTCGGTTCGGCCTGCTTCGTCCCTCTTTGGCTCTTAACTGCGGTGGCGAGACTGGCTCTACTGGCTGAGCCACCGCAGTGAGGACGGTGGGTGTTCGGGGATCCTTGGGGTTTAGCGGAAAAATCGTTGAAATTTAGCTTCCCTTGGCGGCGATCCGACACCTTTCGCTTCTGCTCACGAACCACGGCACTTTTCGGTGAAACGAATACGCCACTACAACTTCTCGTTTTCACTTAAAACGGACGGGGCAAAAAACGCGCCGATTTCCAACCGTGGCTCGTGACTTTCTATTCTTTTTCCGTACTAGCTGACAATCTCCGACAATGCAATCTCCGACATCGTTCTCCTGCAACCGCGCTCGAATGTTGTGCTGCTTATGTTTTTCGCCTTCGCAGCGGGAGGAGAAACGGGACCTAATTTTATTCTTAACGCGAGACAATTTAAATCGATAATTTTTACAC